GACAAGATGTCTCTGCACAAAAGACACCTTGCAAACAGCACCAGGGGCTTAGCAATTGAGACTAAAAAGGCACAAGCACAACTCGCTTGTGGGGGAGCTGGGATATTAGAACAGAATGATAAAGCAATCATGCAAAAGGGAACTTAACAATAAAATACACAACTAGTAGTCAGCTAGTCAACAAGGGTGAACCATTTAAATGCTAACAACTGACTTGGTAATAGGTCTTACCTAAAACAATGATTAAATATTATCTGGCCAGGTGATGATACAATAAGTGCACTTCTCTAAAAGCTTAAATCGTAATGATACACTGCTTAATGTCAAGTTAACTGCTGAAGACATAGAGGGAGTTAATACCTCTTGCCTTCTTACAGCCACAGTCAGGTGTTCCTTTGTCCAAATCCTCAGCTCTGGAAAAATAATCCCTCTGATAGGTGTCCCTACTGGAGAGGAGAAGGTCCAGAAACCTCGTGGGAAGTGTATGGGAGTCTCCCTGATTGAAGATGTGACCAGGCTTTTCTAGAATAAAGTGGATTGACTGCTGTCATTTAAGTTCTTAGATGTACCTCCAAAATCCCTCACTAGAGAATAAAAGGAAAACAGCAGGAAAATCACTTGTTCTCACCAAGCAAACTCTTTTGTTTATCTGTTTGTTCTTGTTTTCTGTCCTTCTTTTGGGCCTACTTGTGTCTGGGCTGGGCTCCCTGTTCTTCAACATCAGAGAGCAGCTGGTGTTACATCAACTTGTCCCTCTGTTTGTACTTTCAAGGTTGTTACCAGCTCAGAGCTTGCTGAGCTCTTTCCTTTCCTATGGGAATCTTTCCACTCCAGGCTCAGGGCTGCAAAACATAAGAGAGAGAGCAATTGAATCATGGACGGAAACTGAGGCAGGTCCACTGAGAAATGCAGCTTTCTGTTAAAGGAGGCTTCCCCAAAGACTGAATAAACACAGGCTGGGGTCAGAAAAAAAATTCAGCAGCTTTCTTAAAATGAGGATGTTGCTACAAGAGACATCACTGCAAAACCTTTGCAGCTGAGTGTGTTTTGGGGAAAGGACCTGAGCCTTGCCCAGCTGTGTCAGTCCCCACTTCTGGGTCATGGCTCCCCCTCCACTCATCTGGCTGGCTTCACTCATGGGAGAGCTGACCCTGTTTTCACCCAGGGCCTGCTTTTTCCAACACTGCTGCACATGCTGGCTCACATGCAAGAGCAGCTTTAACACCAGCCTGCAAAATCTGAGGCGTTTCCCCTGCCACAGCTGCTGCAGAAAAATTTCTGTGAGGGCTTTTAGGCTCTAGAAATCAGTGGTAGCCCACAACAGCAGATGTTTACTGTGTCCAGTTCTGGAGCCCGCAACACAAGAAGGACATGGAGCTCCTGGAAAGTGTCCAGAGGAGCTACAGAGATGATCCAAGGGCTGGAGAAGCTCTACTCTGGAGACAGGCTGAGAGAGTTCGGGTGTTCAGCTTGGAGAAGAGAAGGCTCCAGGGAGACCTTAGAGCACCTTCCAGTGCCTGAAGGGGCTACAGGAAAGCTGGGGAGGGGCTGTTTACAAGGGCTTGTAGTGAGAGGACAAGGGGGAATGGATTAAAGCTGGGAGAGGGGAGTTTGAGGTGCGACATGAGGAGGAAATTCTTGAGTGTGAGGGTGGTGAGACCCTGGCCCAGGTTGCCCAGGGAAGCTGTGGCTGCCCCATCCCTGGAAGTGTTGAAGAGCAGGTTGGATGGGGCTTGGAGCAACCTGTTCTGGTGGGAGGTGTCCCTGCCCATGCAGGGGTGGGGGGATTGGAACTAGATGGTCTTTAAGGTCCTTTCCAACCCAAACCATTCCATGATTCAATGTTTCTCCTCTAAGCACTACATCTACCTGAACAAACAACCACCCATACTCATCTGGCCACATCCCCATAATTAGTATTTGTAAAGGAAGCTGGGATTTTTAGGGCCAATTTTTTTCCACTTCTGTAATCTAAGAAAGGGTTCTAGTGTAGATACCAGGCTTCACTCTCTTACAGGGTGGGATGAGAGGCTCTAAAGCACTTCAGCAAGAGCCTCTGCTGTCCCCACATGAAGAAACACCTGTTGATAAATGACTGCTGCCCTTCAGCAACAAACCACAAATAATGGAAACAGAAAGTAAATGCCTTTATCTTAACAATCTAAACACACAGCTCAGCAGAGCCAAAGACTGAAGAGCCACAAAGGAACACCTCCCAGACCTTGTGGCCACCTCTAGCCCAGCTGTCAACTTGCTCTAGGTGTTGGGGTGTGAGGGGTAGCAGTGAGCTCTGAGCCCAATCAGCCTGCCCTTCACTGAGAGGGAAAAACAGCTCCTCAGTTTGCTTCAGTCCTCCAGGAAAACCCTTTCCTCTGGAAATGTGCAGTTTGTTCATTCAGTGGCCGTTTGTTCTGTTTGGCAAGTGAGTTTTGGCAGAGCAGAGCCAGGGACCTCGGTGGTGGGCTCAGGGTTAGCATCCCAAAATTCCACATGCCCTGAGGTGTAGAGCTGGGCTCACCACACAGAAGTTCCAGGTGCTTTAACAGCAGCTGTGGAAGGAGGTAGAGCTGTTTTATAAAGTATGGCATTTATGCCTTAACTAGACAGTTTTACACCTGACCTCACCATTCAGGCAGGGCTCCCTGGGAAGCAGAGAGGCAGGAGAGCAGCAGTACCCATCCCAGCACTAGGTGAAGCTGGATGGACATCGTTGAACGGGCACAAAAACATTCCTAGCAAAAGGCTTTTTATTCCACTAGATGGCACCCAGGCCTTGGTGATGGATGTTGCCTCGAGGGGTGGGCAGGGATCCGGTCAGGACTGGGAGGTGGCGAGGTACCAAGGCAGGGTGCCCATGGAGCTGCAAACCAACCAGTCCAACCAGACCCCATAAACCACCCCCTTCTTTTGCCAGGCAGCAGCACATGCCGAGTCCGAGCTCCCAGAAGCATCACCATGGCCCATAAGACTGGGGATGTGACATACTGAGGCAATTCCAGGGGGAGTTGCCCAGCCCAGGCTGCCAGGAGCCAGGTAGCCTCTGTTGCTCCCAGCTGGGTGAGCCAGCACAGGAGGTCCCTGAGCCTTTGGGGATCCTGTGGATGCTGCCTCACGCCTGGGAAGCTGTAGGCAACCCCCTGCCCAGGCTGCTTCAACTTCCATGTCTCCGCAGCACTGGGACCAGGCTGCCTGGCCCAGCTCCCCTGGGGACACAGCACCTGATGCCTTGCTGTGGAGCCTAGTAGGGACATGCAATTCTTGATCCTTCCTGCTGGAGAGCACAAGCTTATCAAGAGCCCCAACAGCTGGTGCTACTACTGACAGCACCAGTGACACAGCCAGTGTTATCCTTGTAGAATCACAGAATCACAGACTGGTTTGAGTTGGAAGGGACCTTAAAGACCATCTAGTTCCAACCCCTGCATGGGCAGGGACACCTCCCACTAGATCAGGTTGCTCAAGGCCCTATCCAACCTGCCCTTGATGACCTCCAGGGAAAGGGAATCTACAACCTCCCTGGGCAACCTGTGTCAGTGTCTCACCACCCTCACACTAAAGAGTTTCCTTCTCGTATCTCCCCTCTTCCAGTTTTAATCCATCCCCCCTTGTCCTCTCACTACAAGCCCTTGTCCCAAGTCCCTCCCCAGCTTTCCTGGAGCCCCTTCAGGCACTGGAAGGTGCTCTAAGGTCTCCCTGGAGCCTTCTCTTCTCCAGACTGAACACCCCAAATCTCTCAGCCTGTCTCCAGGGCAGAGCTGCTCCAGTCTTGGATCATCTTTCTGGCCTCCTCTGGACTCTTTCTAGGAGCCTCATGTCTTTCCTGCACTGGGGGCTCCAAAACTGGACACAGTCCTTTTCCTGCCTGTCCCAGCATCAGCAATGCACAATCCTTAAGGGCACTGTAGCCTGAAGTGGGGACCTGCCCCTTCCCTGCATGTGGCTGCACAGAGGGCAGGGGAGGGGATGCTCTGCAGGTCTCTGGTTCTGTGTCCCCACCACACCCGTCCCCTGCAAGGCTTGATGCTGCTCGCCCTGCTGCTGAGCCATGCCTGTTTTAGCACCTTCTGGGACAGAAAAAGCAACCTGCAGTGGCATAAACAGTGGTTAACTTCAGGTACAAGCAGCAGCCCGGCTCCAACAGGTCCAAGTGCAGCCTGGCTCACGTGCAGGGGCCAGCTGTGGGAATGATGGTGGCACAGCCAGGATGCTATGGTGGGGCTGGCAAGTGTCTCAGCAACTCCTGGAGAGCCTGGTGGGGATTTCTTGCTGCAGGAGATGGATGAGCCTATGGGGGTGATGCTCTGTGCAGGTCCCCAGCAAGGACAAACTGTCTGGTTGGCTCTTGGTAGGACCCAGTTGGGTTTGATCCCACCCAAGGAGGGACGTGCAGGGCTGGTTGGCCGAGTCACAGCCCCAGAGAGGATGGCTGGACCAGGGATGCTCTGGGGCCAGAAACCCACCCATGCCCAGGGACCCACCACACCACAGTGTGCCAGTGCTGGCAAAGCAGCTGCCTTGAAACCCCACTGCAAACACTGGGAGCCAACAGAGCCTTCGGGTACAGAAATGCCTTTATTTCTCCATGAGGCTGGGGGCGAAGCCGTTGAAGACAGAGGCTTATTTGTTTTTATTCTCACAGTTTTTACTTCCTGGCACCAGCGCAGGAACGACGCTACCCTACACTGCAGAGCACAAGGGGTCTTCTGTGTGGCTGCCCAGCACTGCACGCCCACCCCAAGCTGTGGCAGCACCCGGGGCACGTCCCCACGCAGACCCCCACGCAGACCCCCTCCAACCAACAGCAGGGTGGCACAAACCAGCAGTTTCTGGCTCCTGGGCTGCCAAGCACTCTGTGACCCCCCCAGCAACCTGCAGGGTGCCCCTCTGCCCGGGCCCCTCACTCATCCCCCCTGCAGCACGGATGCTGGGGAGGACATGACATATAGGGCCCCCCCCCCCCCCAATGCCTGGGGCCTGCCGGGGCAGATCCTGGCAGCCCCTCAGAGGGTCCCCCGGCTCCACCGGCCCTTGGGGTACCCCGGGGGTCCCCCCCCCGCGGGCCGCTGCCCTACCTGCCGGCTGTCGCTGCTGCTGCCCCGCTCCCCCTCGGAGGACTGGCTGCTGTCCGTGCTCCCCAGGGCAGCGTAGGGGCCGTGGGGCTCAGCCCGGGCCCGCTCCAGGGTGTAAAAAGCCCTCTCGCGGATGTGCAGCTCATCAGCGCGCTTCACATGGTCCACCTGCCTGCTGCTGCTGCCCAGCACTGCCAGCGCGCCCGCCGCCCCGGTTCTCCTGCCCTGCCGCGCGGGGAGCCGGCTGCTCCCGGGCCCCCACAGCGCGGGCCCGGGGGAGCGGCCCCCAGCCTGCCCGGCCTGCCCGAGGCTGCTCTCCTTGACCTCCCCTGCCTGCTGATGGGAGCTGCCCCCAGCCTGCCCTGCCTCCCAAAGGCCGTTGCCCCCAGCCTGCCCTGCCTCCCAAAGGCCGTTGCCCCCAGCCTGCCCTGCCTCCCAAAGGCCGTTGCCCCCAGCCTGCCCTGCCTCCCAAAGGCCGTTGCCCCCAGCCTGCCCTGCCTCCCAAAGGCCGTTGCCCCCAGCCTGCCCTGCCTCCCAAAGGCCGTTGCCCCCAGCCTGCCCTGCCTCCCAAAGGCCGTTGCCCCCAGCCTGCCCTGCCTCCCAAAGGCCGTTGCCCCCAGCCTGCCCTGCCTCCCAAAGGCCGTTGCCCCCAGCCTGCCCTGCCTCCCAAAGGCCGTTGCCCCCAGCCTGCCCTGCCTCCCAAAGGCCGTTGCCCCCAGCCTGCCCTGCCTCCCAAAGGCCGTTGCCCCCAGCCTGCCCTGCCTCCCAAAGGCCGTTGCCCCCAGCCTGCCCTGCCTCCCAAAGGCCGTTGCCCCCAGCCTGCCCTGCCTCCCAAAGGCCGTTGCCCCCAGCCTGCCCTGCCTCCCAAAGGCCGTTGCCCCCAGCCTGCCCTGCCTCCCAAAGGCCGTTGCCCCCAGCCTGCCCTGCCTCCCAAAGGCCGTTGCCCCCAGCCTGCCCTGCCTCCCAAAGGCCGTTGCCCCCAGCCTGCCCTGCCTCCCAAAGGCCGTTGCCCCCAGCCTGCCCTGCCTCCCAAAGGCCGTTGCCCCCAGCCTGCCCTGCCTCCCAAAGGCCGTTGCCCCCAGCCTGCCCTGCCTCCCAAAGGCCGTTGCCCCCAGCCTGCCCTGCCTCCCAAAGGCCGTTGCCCCCAGCCTGCCCTGCCTCCCAAAGGCCGTTGCCCCCAGCCTGCCCTGCCTGCCCGAGGCGGCTTTCATTGGCCTGCCCTGCCTGCTGGTGGGAGCTGCTCCCAGCCTGCCCAAGGCCGCTGCCCCCAGTGTGCCCTGCCTGCCCAAGGGAACTTTCCCCCGCCTGCCCTGCATCCCGAAGAGAGCTGCCCTTGACCTGCCCTGCCTGCCCAGGGGGGCTGCCCCCCACTCCCATGGTGTGCCACCTGCCCCCAACATCACCACTATGGCTTCCAGCCATCCCCTGGGCCTCACTCAGTGCTTGGCTACCAGCTTTCCCGTCTGGAGACGGTGCTTTGTCTGTCCTGGCTGTCTTGTCCAGCCCTGCTCCCCCAGGCCAGACCCCTGCTCCCACTTGGGGCCGTCCCTCCCTGTGGGGCCAGTGCGGGGTTGTCCCCACTTCCCCGCTCGCCCCTCTGGCCGTGGTGGGGGTCTCTTCAGCCATGCAGCTGCCATCCCTCCCTGGGGCAGTGGTGCAGTTGCCCTCCCTCACTTCAGAGGAGGCCATAGTGCCTCCCAGGCGGATGCTGGCCCCCTCGGCTGGGACAGTGGCAGTGGCCTCCTCAACAGCCTCCTGGTGAGGGGTGGGGACAGGCAGGCGGTCTGACTTCCCCTCAAACCACTGCCCCTCACCTCTCGCTTCATCGTCACCATTCACAGCAGCATCAGCCTCTGAGGGGACAGGAATGTCACCACCGGTGATGGTCCAAGGGCTGGGGGCCAGCGGCCCTTCTCCATCACCAAGGGTGGTCACACCATCCTCATCATCTCCTGTGGGATAACCAACCCTGGGTCGGCTGGTGGTGCCTTCTCTGTAGCTCGGGGTGGCTGTGGTGGCCAGTTCTTCAGGCTGCTGATGAGCAGGGGTGCCATCATCACCATCATGTGCTGCAGTGACCGCCAGCCTGGTCAGAGGGCTGCTGGTTCCTGCAGTGGGGCTGCCACTGTCCTTGCTGCCAACAGTGGCACCAGCCTGGGTGGTTTCTTGCTCCCCCACGAGGATGTTGGCTCTCCTGATGAATATGTTGACCTCATCATCCTTGTCCGGAGAGATCTGGGTGAAGCTGGTGGCCGTCGCTGTGCTGCCCAACTTCCCTTGGGTGACAGTGATGCTGCCCGAGTCAGGGATGTAAATGTATTCATCCACACCTTCCGTGTCAACTTGAACATGCTCTGTCTTCTCAGTGACAGAGGTGAGAGCAGCGCTTCCCGTCCCTGTGCCCTGCATGACACCCTCCTGCCCTTGGCCAGGCACGGTGGCCCCATCACTGCCCTCATCCCCAGCCCCTCCAGTGGCAGAAGCCCTCTCCCTCTCACCTGTCATGGCCCTCTCCACTGGAACCCACCCAGGGGCACCATCCTCCTCCCTGTCCTCACCCCTGACAACAGACCTGTTTCCCACCACGGCCTCGCTGGAACGTCCATCCTGGGTAGGAATGGAAACACCACCATCGATTTCCACCACTAAATCCAGGTCACCACTGCCCTCCCAGCTGGTCGGGGTGGGACCTGCAATGCCAGCCCCACCACGTGCTCCCGTGCTGGTGCCTGGGGGAGGACTAAGAGCATCCCTGTCCACGCCTGGGGTGGTGTGGCTTTTGGGCATGAGGCTGGTTCTGTTGTTCTCCATCACATCAGTGCTGACATTTTCGCTTTGCTCCAGGGCCACCCTGTCTTCTGTCAGCTCCTGCTTGTCCTTGTCCTCACTCAGCACATTCTGGCCATCAGCTTCTTCCTTCTGTGCAGTAGACACAAAAAGAGAGGTTAGGGCCAGCCTTAGAGCCTGGCAGCTTCGGGGGGTGCCACAGCCAAGCTGGGGGTCCTACCATGACACCCAGACACCTCCTCACCTTGATCTGCGTCTGGTTCCTCCGCGCTGAATACAAGTAGACGTATTTGAACATGAGGAAGCCATGCTTGGCATTGCAG